AAATGACTCGGGCCTTGCTCACTCTTTCCTATCTGAACCTTCTTATCTGCCCTTGTGCCCCTGAGTCCCCCACATTTCATCACTAATGAACAGCCCCATAAAAAGAGGGAGTTCGATTTCTCTCTTCTTTCTATCTCTTGGGCTCTCTTCTCTGCTTCTGTGCAAGATATCAGTCTATCATTTGCTGAGCTGGGCTGCAGCATCCGATCTGCAGATCTCTTTCACATTAAGGATCCTATTAGATAGAGAACCCTAAAAGGTAATTGGATTTCCCCCTAGTTATCTTCATCTCTGTTTCACCCTAAGCCCACTGTAATAACTTACTCTCAGGGCCAAAGATAACTCAATTCTGCTCCACAGAGACCCGGTGAGTGAGTGAGAAACAGAGAGAAACTGGAAAAGGGGAAAGGCATATGTTATGTCTCTGAGGAAAACCGGTGTCTAAATCAAAAGGCCCCTCTATTTGACGCCTACGATTTGAAATCTGACAAGAAAACAAATTAGTTTTAATATTTTGAATTATTTTCATTTAAAGGGAATAGTTGAAATGTGTTGCTTTGTGTACAACAAGCTTTCTTACAAGTACTGTTTGCAAATCAGTGGTTTGGTAGGAGGTGCAGTATTGCACAACTTCCTTACTTCAAGAGTGATGCAATGACAAAAAATAAATAAAAATAATCTAACTGTGGTGGACACTTGCAGTTTTTTTGTTTGTTTGTTTCTACAAAAACAATCAACTCCGTCACTGCGGTGCAATATAGCAAAATAATACTTTAAAACTGGGACAGTGATGAAAATGATTTGAAAACCTTCCACCCTCCAATGTTGGGGTAGGGAGGTGGGGGTGTTTCATTGGCCTGTTATTTTTATTGTGGCAGTGCAAAATGAAACTGTTGGCTACAGCAGCCTCAAACAGAGCTTGTATGGAGGCAAAAATCAATATAGCAATATCAAAGCAAGACTTATCAGAGGCTCACTTCTCCTCAGAGGTCACAGAGGAGCAACTGCATTTAAGTGAGGAATTCAATTGTAAAACAGTTTGGGACATGTGGTACTCAGTATCTGATTAGGACAGAAACACTGACAAGGAAGGCGGAGGTAGAAGTTACAACCCAGAAGTACAAAATAGGAGAAAATATTAGCCTTTCTGTGTTTGTATGTTTGTGCTCATTCAAATAGTAGTAAAAGTTAAATAAAAGATTTTTGATTTAGCGCTCAAGATGTGTGTTGATCCTCAGCTAAAACCACACAAAATTTTAACTCGTCTGTAAAACTGATTGAGTTAGTGAGACTTTTGTGTTTGCAAAGGCTAATTAGCTGTGGTGGCCATCTTTAATTAGAGAACCTCAACATCTTCTGCTCTACCACTTCCAGTTCTTCTGTCTTTTTGTCATTGCCACCTTCTCCAAACCGTATAACATAACTGATCTAACTACATTACTCTTGTAAACCTTTCCCTTTGAGGCCACATTTTGTTACAAATCACTCCTGAAACTTTTCTCCGTCCACACCATCCTGCCTGGACTCTTCTTCATCTCTTTACCACATTTCCTGTTTTCCTGGACCGTTGACAATGTACTTGAAGTCTTGCACCTTTGTGACCTCTGCTTCTTGTAGCCTCACTGTTCCAACTGCCTTCGTCTCATTCACATACATGCACTCTGGCTTGCTATGGCTGACTTTCATTCCTCTTCTTTAAAGTGTATACCTCAACATCTCCAAGTTCTTCCACCTATTTCCAAATTTCCACAGGTATGCCATCAGGTCCAACTGCCTTTCCCTTCTTTATGCTCTTCATAACTGTTCAATTTTCCATCCTCACTAATATTTTCCACTTTCTGGTCCACAGTTTCTATGAACTCTACTCCACTTTCTCTTTCATTCACTTCATTCATTAGCTCCTTAAAGTACTCCTTCCATCTTCTCATCACACTCACTTCATTTGTTAGAATATTACCATTTTTACCTTTAAATAGCCTAACTTGATGCACAATCTTTCTTGTCTTTGTCTTTGCTACCTCTCTCTTTGCCCTACATAGCATCTCCTTATATTCCTGTCTATGCTCTTTGGTCCTCACTGTCCCAACTTCTTCTTGGCTAATCTCTTTCTCTGGACAGATACTGATAGATTCCTGCACTTCACTATTCCACCACCATGTTTTCTTATTTTTTGTTTGCCCAGATACACACCAAGTACCTTCCAACCTGTCTCTAATCACTGTTGCTCTAGTAGTTTAGTCACCTGGAAGCTCTTCCTTTCCACATGAGGCCTTTAACAGTTCCTTTCTGGATTCCTTGCATTTGTTCTTCCTCAACTTCCATTATTTGGTCTTCTTCTGTGACTTTAATCTTTTCCTCTTCTTAACCACAACAGTCAGCCTACACAACACCATCCAATGCTGTCTGGCCACACTCTCTCTTGCCACCACCTTATAGTCCCCAATCTCCCTCAGATTACGGTACCTCTTTTATACAGAATGTAGTCCATCTGCAGACTCCCGCCTCCACTATTAGAGGTCAACCTATGTTCTTCCCTCTTTTGGAAATAGGTGTTCACTACAGCAATTTCCATCCTCTTGGCAAAATCCACCACTATCTCTCCTTCCGGGTTATTTTCCTTGACACAAAACCTATTCATTACTTCCTCATTTCTTCTGTTTCCTTCACCAACATATCCATTCCGGATTGCTCCGATCACAACTCTCCCCTCCTTGGGAACACTTTCTATCACTTCATCTTGATCCTTACATAATTTATCTTCCTCCTGTATCTTGCATCCAACCTGTGGAACCACTGACAACATTTAGCATTAGACCATCTACCTTAAGAAACATCATCTTATCTGACATTCTTTCCACCTCTACTACATTCCTTGCAAACTCCTTCAGGAATATCACTACTCCTTTTCTCTACCTATCCAAGCCATTGTAAAACAACATAAACCATGTTCCAATGCTATGAGCCTTGCTGCCCGTCCACCTGGTCTCTTGCACACATAATACATCTACCTTGTAGGTGAATGTCACGATCATGTCAGATCATCTGTGCAGTTACATCATGCTCTCTCAGGCTATCATTACCTGCAGAGTTCCCTCAGTGCAGAATGAAATTGGCAAAAAGGCCTTCTCTTATTCTGCTCCTGTAACTTGGAACACCTTGCAACAAGAACTGAAGCTGTCTACCTTCATTTCTTTAGGGGATTTTAAGCATTTCATAAGGTCAAAAGAAAAATCAAAGCAAATATGTTCTTGTTTTTAGTAATTTACCTTGTACGGCACTTTGATTTTATAGTTTTATAACGCTACTTTTATTTTAATTGCATTTTATTGTTGTTTATTCTTGTCTGTACTTTATATGTTGTCTGTCTAACAGGTCTCTCTTGTAAATGAGTCCTTGTGACGCAATGAGACTAACCTGTATAAATAAAAGTTGAATGAATGAAACCTTCCAGCATCATATCAGCCTGCTCTCTACCTTTGTCTGTCATTGTCCCAAGGTTTAGAGCTGCTGTATTCAGTCCTACTCTCTTGACCTTCTCTTTTGCCTCGGTCTACCGGCATGACTTCCTCCTTGTGGTCTTTGAATAACAGTAAAACAATTTCCACCGGTAACATGTTTGTAAACAACACCACTGGTGGTGGTTGTTTACCCAGGACTCAACCAATCCAGTATTGTGTTGTTAGTTGGACTTGTATGATTGTTTTGGCAAAAGTATTCTACATCAGATGCCCTTCCTGACATAACCCTCCACCATTTACTTGCTTGGGAACAGCACACATTGGCTTGTGCTCCCTTAGTGGCCGGTTTACCAGGTAATAATCAGATTTCAGCTGTGTTTGTCTTCAATGGGGGAGAGATTACAGACAACAAATCTGGAGCAGAGTGAATATTAAACATAGTTTGAGTTAAAGATGAAAATATCAAAGATGAGGAATCTAAACAAAAAAAAGATGATAGGAATCACTGAAAAAACTGTTTTGCAAAAACCATTATAACTGGATTCCAACATTCTTTAGTGACTCCAATTCACCCAAATTAGCCTATTTTAAACTTGCATAGAAAAGCATCAATATACAGTGAAGTGGAAGTAGAGTTGTGGGGCTGGATGCAATGGGTTTACACACAGTCAGTCCTTCAAGAACCGATACTCTCAAGTCTTTCACCTGTAGAATTGGCTGGTCTGAGAAATGAGCAAGGGAGCAATGAAAAGAGGAGAAGGATCCCATATCCCTGTCACTACCAAAATAGACCCACAGTGGGATTATAATGGACATGATCTCAGCAGGACAGAAAATTATTTTGGTGAGATCTAAAAAACAGGATGAGTTGTAGCAAAGTTTGAGAAAGAAGCAGGCAGAACAGAGTGTTCTTGGGTCAAAACAGAGCTGGTACAGCAGCTGTCAGTGTAAGGCAGCATTTGTAGAGATATAATATGAGGAAGTGCAGGAAAAGTTGTATTTCTGGGGCAAGCGGGCAGGTAGAGCAAGATTTAAAGTGGTATATAAGCACTACGCAGTAGTTGGTTATATGTTCCGTAAATGATCACCACACAAATGTATACTGGTGTGTGTGTGTGTGTGTGTGGGGGGGGGGGGGGGGTCTGTTTGTCTTTTTTCTTTATGGTTGTGTATGTCACAAACATGTGAAATACTCTTGCCAAGAAATGCAAATTTCAATCAGATGTTTAACAATACCACTGCTTCTCAACCCAAACACTTCCTTTTAGCTATAAAAAAAAAACTTTTTCAATTAAAAATCATAACTTGTCTGCAGATCTGTTTTACTATATAACACAAGCATGCAATATTTAAATTATCCCGTTTTTACAGTTTGCTTCTGTGATCAAATAACATTGCATGATGAAGCCAATTTACATACAAAAAATACATAATACAATAATTAACTTTCAATATTTCCTTATTTATGCAAGAAATTTAATTTACCCACATAAATGTGCTTACCTATTAAAATGTTTCTGCCAGAACTGTATATTATCTTACCTCAAACTCTGCATGTTTATGTACGTCTTCAGCCCTTTGTCTGCTCAGGATGAATTCGGCTTCATTTGCAACACGAACCAGATGGTCCTTCATGGTGTGACTGAGAAGCCTGGGGGTAATAGGAAATGGTCATCAGTAAAAATGTGCAAGTAGGTTTAACTCCTCACATTTTTTTAAAGTGAGAAAAAGAAAGTACTAATCTACAGTAAGAGGAGAAAGATCCTCTCGTAATGATCATGTGATCTTAAGTTTTACAGTACTGAAAGAATGGCAACCATCTGAAAACAGAAAACAATTTAACATCCATAAAATGGTAAGAGAATTGAGTAAAATGAGCAGAAAATCGTTTTTGAAACCAAATCAAACCAGATTTGTCCTGGGGCTCAGGTGCTAATTGATTTGTTAATGGTATGCATCTGACAAGAGGGTGGACCTCTGCTCATAACATACGTAGTCCCCCCCCCCCCCCCCTGTCCTTATCGGTGTAGATGAAATACGCATGTTATTTGTGTGTACAGGTCAAAGAAGCCTCTCTACAGGCCTGCAGGTCAGAGCTGTGTAAAGTGGAACAATAACAGAGCAGAAAACAGGGAGGAGAGGTGGAGGGCAGACTTAGCAGGCTGCGGCTGAAGGTGGGCAAAGAGGTCAGCAGCTCGAGTACGACTGTAACCTAAGCCTGCTGTTTCAGCACAGTGCGGCAGGGGAGCAGACACTGGGGCCTCTTCAACCTCCATGACTCTATTCAGGCCTTCCTATCAATAACCCAACAAGTGACCTTCTTTATGGACCTCTGCTTTAATGACTGCACATGTGGATACAGTCTAAAGCTGGTTTAACCTAGAAAACAACTACCCAACATTAAAGACATCCACCAACAAAATACATTAATAAACTCTTCAGGCTAAATGTACAATCTGAATGGACAGAAGAATATTCTTTTCACAAGTGTTTATTTAGTAAATATTTTTATTTAAATGGATACATCTTTTATATTATCCCCAAATGGAACTTTGTGGCTTGTCAGGACTATTATGAGGAGTAATATAAGATGGAGCCAGGTTGCTGAGAGCTTTGTAGGTTAGAAGTAAGATTTTGAATTCTATTCAGGATTTGACAGGGAGCCAATGGAGAGAAACTAAAACTGGAGAGATATGATCTCTCCTACTAACTCCAGTTAAGACTCTGGCAGCAGCATTTTGGATCAATTGAAGACGTTTTAAAGACGTATTTGGACATCCAGATAATAAACCATTAAAATTGTCCAGTCTAGACGTGACAAATGCATGGACCAGTTTTTCTGAATCATTTTTAGATAAGATGTTTCTAATTTTAGTAATATTACGCGGATGGAAGAAGGCAGTTCTAGTAACGTTTTTAATGTGGGGGAAAAAAAGACGTCCTGATCAAAAATAACACCAAGATTTTTAACAGAGCTGGAGGACAGATTAATGCCATCTAAGGAGGGAGAAAGACTGAAAAATTAATTCCTACGGTGCTCAGGTCCAAAAACCAAAACCTCAGTCTTGTCCGTGTTCAACAGGAGAAAATTAAGGGTCATCCAGGTGTTTATGTCTTTAAGACATGCTTGTAGTCTAAGTAGCTGATTGGATTCATTGGGTTTAATGGACAAATATAATTGTGTGTCATCAGCATAACAATGAAAATTTATCCCATGCTGTTTAATAACTTTACCTAATGGAAGCATATATAAAGTAAAGAGTATTGGCCCAAGCACTGAGCCCTGAGGAACTCCATGACTAACTTTGGTGTATGAAGAAGATTTATTATTTACATTTACAAAATGGAATCTATCAGATAGATTTGATTTAAACCATTTTAGAGCTGTTCCTGTAATCACAATATCATATTCAAGCCTCTGTAGTAAAACATTGTGATCAACTGTATCAAATGCAGCACTGAGGTCTAACAGGACCAGTATAGACAAATGTCCATTGTCTGAGGCCATGAGAATATCATTAGTTAATTTTACTAATGCTGTTTCTGTGCTATGGTAAGCTCTAAACCCTGACTGAAACTCTTCAAACAGATTATTTCTTTGTAGATGTTCACGCAACTGACCTGCAACTATTTTCTCTAGAATTTTTTAGATGAAAGTTAGATTAGATATAGGTCTATAGTTGGCCAGAATTTCTAAATCAAGATCAGACTTCTTAAGTAAAGGTTTAATTACAGCAACCTTAAAGCTCTGTGGTACATAACCATCCATTAAAGACAAATTAAGTAGATCCAAAATGTGGACATTAATTAGGGGAAATACCTCTTTAAACAGTCTGGTTGGGATGGGATCTAGCAGACATGTGGATGGTTTGGATGAGGTTATTATTTTTGACAATTCAGAGAGCTCAACAGGACATAAACTATCCAAACATAAATCAGGCTCTAGTGAAAATTTTAAAGTTGCTTCATTTGACAGGGGGCTAGAGATAGTAGAAGGAAAGATGGTTTGAATTTTATCTCTAATTGAAATAATTTTATTTATAAAGATTTTCATGAAGTCATCACTATTTATAATTGTAGGGATACATGGTTCAACAGAAATGGGACTTTTCATTAGTCTAGCAATAGTACTACACAGAAACCTAGGGTTATTTTTATTCTCCTCTATTAAAGATGAGTAATATAAAGTTCTAGCTTTACGGAGAGCTTTTTTATATGTTA